TTGTTAAAAACCGCAAGTCCAATTGCTCTGATATTACATATATAGGTACTACATGTGGACCTCTCTCAGATTTGTTCATTTTGTAATGATATCTTTAATTCTCTAATTTTCATGAATATTTTTGTCATTTTTGGTAAAAAGTGATATTTTCGACTTCTTGTTGAAAACCGCAAGTCCAATTGCTTTGATATTACATATACATGTATAGGTACTACATGTGGACCTCTCTCAGATTTGTTCATTTTGTAATGATATCTTTAATTTTCTAATTTTGGTGAATATTTTTGTAATTTTTGGTAAAAAGTGATATTTTCAACTTCTTGTTAAAAACTTCAAATCCAATTGCTTTGATATTACATATATAGGTACTAAATGTGGACCTCTCTCAGATTTGTTCATTTTGTAATGATATCTTTAATTCTCTAATTTTGGTGAATATTTTTGTAGTTTTTGGTAAAAAGTGATATTTACGACTTCTTGTTGAAAACCGCAAGTCCAATTGCTTTGATATTACATATATAGGTACTACACGTGGACCTCTCTCAGATTTGTTCATTTTGTGTAATGATATCTTCAATTTTCTAATTTTGGTGAATATTTTTGTAATTTTTGGTAAAAAGTGATATTTTCAACTTCTTGTTAAAAATCTCAAGTCCAATTGCTTTGATATTACATATATAGGTACTACGAACTACATGTGGACCTCTCTCAGATTTGTTCATTTTGTAATGATATCTTTAATTTTCTAATTTTGGTGAATATTTTTGTAATTTTTGGTAAAAAGTGATATTTTCAACTTCTTGTTAAAAACTTCAAATCCAATTGCTTTGATATTACATATATAGGTACTAAATGTGGACCTCTCTAAGATTTGTTCATTTTGTAATGATATCTTTAATTCTCTAATTTTGGTGAATATTTTTGTAGTTTTTGGTAAAAAGTGATATTTACGACTTCTTGTTGAAAACCGCAAGTCCAATTGCTTTGATATTACATATATAGGTACTACACGTGGACCTCTCTCAGATTTGTTCATTTTGTGTAATGATATCTTCAATTTTCTAATTTTGGTGAATATTTTTGTAATTTTTGGTAAAAAGTGATATTTTCAACTTCTTGTTAAAAACCTCAAGTCCAATTGCTTTGATATTACATATATAGGTACTACGTGTGGTTCTAAGTCAGATTTTTTCATTTCATGATGATATCTTCAATTCTCTAATTTTGATGAATATTTTTGTAATTTTTGGTACAATGTGATATTTTATACTTCTTGTTGAAAACCGCAAGTCTGATTGTTTTGATACTATACATATTGTTCATTTTTTTCTAATGATATCTTCTGTTCTTTAATTGAAATGTGCATTGCTAACAGCGGAACTATCTCAGCCGAGAGGCTGCTTGTTTAAGTAGTAATCACATTTCAATGACACTTGGTACCGGTACATAGATGTCATAGGACACTGCACAAACCTGATAGTTTTTAGGGTAATATCAGTACATATGAATTACCTAATTTGCATAATTAATTAATTTTCAGCTTTTGATATTTTAAGTAGTAATCATCACATTTCAATGACACTTGGTACATAGATGTCATAGGACACATCACAGACCTGATAGTTTTTAGGGTAATATCAGTACATATTAATTACCTAATTTGCATAATTATTTAATTTTCAGCTTTTGATATTTCAAGTAGTAATCATCACATTTCAATGACACTTGGTACATAGTTACTTAAGGACTGTGCAGACCCCTGATTAGTTTTTGAGTAAATATTTGTGCATAAAAATTACCTTATTAGCATAATTAGTTAATTTTCAGCTTTTTGCCTGATATCTCAAGTACTAATCATCATATTTCAACGAGACTTGCTATATAGATCTTCTAGGACTATGCAGAGACCTGATTAGTTTTAATTGGATATTAATTGCCTAATTTGCAGAATGTTCCACTGATATATAAAAACCACGAATTGGATATACAGAGACCCAATTAGTTTTTGGTAAATATTTATGCTTATTAATCACCTAATTAACATAATTAATTAACACTGATACATGTATCTCAATTACTGATCATCACATTTGAATAAAATTTAATACATAAATGCTCTAGGACAATAGACAGGCCTGATTAATTTTGGGTTAAAATTTGTTCATATTAATTCTCTAATTAGCATAATAATTCATAATTTTTTTGTTCTGTTCTGTTCATATTAGTTACCTGATTTACATAATTAGTTTTCAGCTTTTCCATCAATATCTCATGTACAAGTAATTTTGAATTAATTTTTAATGTGTCTTCAATACTCTCAGCACACGGGAGTTCTTTCTAAGCTTTCTTTGATTATTCCTTGTTTCTCGAGTTTTTATAAGTAAATTTTTTTAGGAAGGCGGAAAAAAAAAAATTTGTGTGATTCTCAAAGAATTGTAAGTGAGATCATTGCTTGGAGAGAAGAAATGAAATATAATTTCATTCTATGTATAACCTGGTTGGCAATGTCACCAATTGTGACAAACCACACTGCCGCCATGTTCGCCTAGTAGTCTCAAGCAGCATGCAGAGACGTCAATACCCCCGGTACCCAAGATTCACTGTCAACCAACGTGCATAAAATATAGATCTGCGCGAGACTACGATACTTTGATCATGATACTCCCATAAAAATGCAACTTGACACAGTTTTGTTATCTTCAGTGTCAAAAAAATCACAAAGATTTTTTTTAAATTGAACTGGTCATGTTTTACTTTTTCCCCATAGTCTCATGCATTAATTTAGTAACCTGTATAAAGTAGTATCACATTTCTCTTAAACATTTAGTCCGTGACCCCAATTTTTTTCTCAAATATAAAAAAAATTAAAATACTTCATGAAGCTGTATTGCTCAATCTTGATCTAGTGAACTTTTTTTTTTTTAAATATTTTTTGTGCCAGGCGACAGCTCTGGACATTGAGTGTCACTGTTGTCTCTCCTGACATTTTTTTTGTATGTGCAAATTGCAAGTGCTAGTGCTGACACATAGTGAACTTTACTTAAAGCATTTACAGTTAACTAGCTATTTCAAAAAGTATGGTAGTTTTAAATATGTTATTACTGTTTATGATAAACTTAATAAAAGTCTGCCTTTTTCATTCAGTAGATTATAGATTTGATTTTGATTTTTTGAATACAGGGATGCTCCTTTTGAACCTAAACCATCACTTAAACTTATTGCAAAATTTTTAGTAGAAGATTGTATTAGACGATATCCTAGAGATCCGTGTCAAATCTGTAAAGATAACGCATTTCCACCAGATCCTAAGGTAAGCACTGTAGATTGCTTCTATCCAATCAGAGATGACCTTGCTTACAGTGTAGTGAGATCAATTTGTAACATGCACTCTGATTGGTTACTTAACTCTTTTCATTAGAGAAAATCAGAATTTGAACTATAGTATTTTTGTTGACATGGATTTATTAGGTTAGGGTGTGATATATGTTTAAGATCACATGCGAATTGCAATATGATCACAAATGATAAAACCTACATTTCTAAAATTGAGTCTGTGAATAAATTGATTTCATTTCATTTTTGCTAGTATTTCATTCACTGATTTCTATTGCATTTATGGTAAAAATAAGCAATATTTTAATAAATGGTTCACAACAAATGTGATATTTGGCTTTTATGCGGTTCTAATACAGTTTTTTTTATGCTGTTCTGTGTCATACATGTGATCCTTACAAAATGTTTCAACACTGTGATAATGAATTAAACAATTAATAAATCTCATTATGTAATGAAAGTCTTTGATGTCCTTTGAAAGGAATGCTATCACTGCGCCACTTACAATTCAATGTTTTCATTGCAGAGTGTCGTCACTGTTCCCAGTAATGATCGTTACATTGAAAGAGTTTACTGTTGTCATTTATTCCATCATGGTTGCCTAGATACGTTCATGAAAACGCCACCATTCACAGGTGAGGAGCGGAAAGGAGAAGAAAATTGAAGAGAATGTTTCAAGTACACATTGAAAAATGATATTTAAATTCCCCACTCAGTGCTTTCTTAAATCAAAGACTGTATCATCTATATTTTGAGTGAATGCCTATGCACATTGTTTTACTCGCTTGGTGCATCTTCCTTACTTTTACTTTGTAAAACTTGTTCTATTTTGATAAAACTGAAAAAAATCTGGTATAGCACTGCACACTTAATGGGGAACCTTCAAAACCAGGGTTTGCACCAAAGAATCATGGAACACTATTGTTTATGTTGTTTACAATGTTAATCTATCTTTTATTATCCATTGTAATTTTAATCCAGAAAGTAAATTTGTTGTGAGATTAGGCTTAACTGGAGGTTCCCCTTCCACTGAAAGTCAACTTTTCTGTCACTCTGGATTATTCAAATTCCAGCCTTGTTTCTCTTGTATGATTATCATTGATTATAATTCCTAAAATAAACGTTGGTAGCATCTTTATTGAAATGCCTCAACAACAACAGCATAATAATACGATGAACAAACAAACAAACAAGTCATTCACTACTGAACTTTCGGTCAGTGCTCAACCCTACAACATGCTCTTCAATCTAACTTTCCACCAAATAACACAACATTTTATACACATACAGGCAAAGTGATGTGTTTATTTGTCTATTTCAGGTGGTAAGAAATGCCCAGGATGCAAACAAAGAATATATCACGACAAATGGAACATTACTCCGAGACTAGCTGAGGAAAGGTGGGCACATCAAGAAGCTAAAAGAAGAGAACTTGCTGAAGTTGTGGACTTTTTGGAATAGTATGACTGAGAGTTTGACTCACAGCAGAACAATGGTTGCAGAGGTGCAAAAATTATTCAACATCTTTGAGTAATTGTCTGTTGTGTTATTGAGATCATCTGAATCAGATTGTCTGCCATGTCACTCAATCATGTGTTAACCTTTGACCTGAACAAGATTGTCTGCCATGTTGGATATGTCACTCAGTCATGAGTTAACCTTTGACCTGAACCAGATTGTCTACCATGTTGGATATGTCACTCAATCATGAGTTAACCTTTGACCTGAACCAGATTGTCTACCATGTTGGATGTCACTCAATCATGAATTAACCTTTGACCTGAACCAGATTGTCTGCCACGTTGGATGCTAACCGTT